GCATCACTCAAAATACCCAAAGGGGTGGAAACCACCAGTGCCCACCAACGCACGAGGAAAATGTGCTGCAGCCATACAGTGGACAAGCACCTGGCCGCATAAAGGAATGAAGTTCTGACAGTTGGCACAATGTGGATGTGTAACATGAAAACAGTCCTGGAAGAGGGACAGTCTGTCCACTCTGAGCTCCCGCAGAGCTGGGAGGCCGAGGCCCAGTTCAGTCTCTTGCAGTCCACATCACACGGCTTTCTTTTGATTTCCTCCCTTGCAAGCCTCCTTTATTACAAACGTTCTCAGCAACCAATTCCCGCTTCCAGAGAACCCAACTTTTCTTTTTTCTTTTTTTTTTTAACTTTTTACCGGGGATCGAACTCACAACCGCCTGCTTGCAAGGCAGGTGCTTATGCTGCTGAGCTAAATCCCCAGCCCCGAACCCAACTTTTCAAAAATCCCAAGTGCTTCTGGTCAATACCAGCTTGGTAATGGATGATGCAAACATTATGACAAGACAGCAGTTTACAGTCTGGTGCTAACGTCCGTCCCTCTTTCTTCTCCAGTACACATATGAGTGTGTGCACATGCAAACATGCATATGATCAGGGGCTGGGGATTTAGCTCAGCGGCATAAGCGCCTGCCTTGTAAGCAGGCAGTCGAGTTCAGTCCTTGGTACCGATAAAAAGGAAAAAGACAAAAAAAACAAAAAAACAAAAAAAACATGCACATGATCTAGCATGTCCTGCTGCACCAAATTCACCCCCACCCATACTACACTCACCCAGAATTCCACATTTGTCTGGCAAATGGAAGCTCATGCTTTGAGACTCCACCCTTGGTTCCCAAACGCTGTGCTGCCCTTTGCAGCCCCCAGACCCCTGTAATCGATTACCTCCTCTCAGCACTTAGCCATTCAAGTCTGTCCCCTCCACACTGTGAGCCCTTAAAGGTGCGGTTGTATCCTGCTCCCCCACGGGATGGGTGGGGTGAGGTGGGAGGCCTGGTTCAGATCCCAGGTTTTGTCAATTAAACTATGCTGCTCAAGACCCTCTGATGTCATAGAGTTTGGATATTCAGGGAAGTCACACAATTCACCTTCTAGACAGCTGAGCCAAGTACACCGGGGCAGGCCATCACCTGACGGGGAGAGGGGTCTGCTCCTCGGCCAGCCCAGAGCCGCTCATGAGGGGCAGGCATACCTCTCCAGGGAAAGATGAGTGGGCAAGCCTGCCAACACGACCCCATGTGAGTCAGGTCATAGCTGGAGGATATATTCGAAAGGATCTTGCCTGCATTCATGGGATGTTGGAGATTTTGGTCACAAAGGTAGAACAGGCTGATCCTGGCTGTATGGCCCAGTCCTTAATGGAGTCACCGTAGGCCTGCCTTCCTAGTACCCTCAACTCCCTACCACAACTTGTTCCCACCCCTTCACCTATGCCAGGGCTGCTCTATCCTCCTGCACATTCCCTGTCTTCCTGCCAGAGGGGGCAGGTGACCAGGGAGTAGTGTTCCGGAGGCTGGGATGACCTCTGTGGGCTAAACCTCTAGGAACTCAAACTGGTGTCCCAATGTTGGCCAGGAGATGCTAGGTCTTGTCTAGGTCCTTGCCTTTTTGGAGCTGACCTTCTAGGGAATGACCCACAGTACAACAACATGCAATGCCCAACAGAGGAAAATGCCCAGGAAGGGGAATCGAGTACCAGGAGGGGGTCTGAAGGGACGGGCTACTCTGGAGCATATGCAGCCTTGGAGGTGGCCAGGGTGATGTGGCTTTGATTCTCAAAGGGCTCTGAACAGTGGAGGGTGTGACATGACTTGGGTCTAAGGGACCCAAGTGATTGTCTGAGAACAGATTGGGGGAAGGGGAGGGGACAGAGGAGAACATGGAGATGACTGCAGTGGTCAGGCAATGGGGACAGGAATGTGGCAAGGACAGCTGGGACCTGCAGGAGACCTTCCTGAAGTAGGACAGACAGAATGAAAAGGCTGAGGGGGTAAGAAGTCAAGAGCAGAAGCCCAGAATGATTCCAAGGGTTTGGGCTTGAGCCTATTTCCTCCTCTGTAAAACAGATGCCTGTATTCAAGGTATTCAGAAGACTGAATGAGCTGATGCATGTCAAGGACCTGGCAATGCTGGAGGCCCAGCGGGACCTCAGTGTCTACAGGGCAGTGAGGATCGGCTGCTCCTCTTGCAAGCTACCTACTCCCACAGCTCGGCCATCCTCTGCATCCTCTGGGTCTCGAGTGTCCCTCACTCAGCAAAGCATTTTCTGATTCTCCCACTCCTTCCTGTCACATACTGTGGATCCTTGATTCCTCCCTCACAGCCCTAGCCAGTGAGTACTGTCCCTTCTACAGGAAAGAAGGCCACCATGGCAGTGACAGATACTCTGCCTGTCCCTGAATGTGCCTGAGACCTTCCTACCCTTTTCTGCACCACTTGGCTTCCAAGTTCGAAGTACCCTTTGTCAGTCTTTGCTGCTGATTTCTGCGGCTGTCTGGCTCCCTCCTCAGACCTGCCCCATAGACAGGTATGAGGGATGTGAGGAAGCTGAGGTGGGGAAGTTGCTATCAGGCTGTGCTGGGTCAGGTGCAGGTGTGTACCTGTTGGAACAGACTTCTTTCTCCTCTTCCTTAGGGTCTTTCTCACTTAGCATGAATGGCATACCAGGTCTGAGAACAGGACTTTTAGTGGAAAGCCAGGACAGCCCAGGACATCAAGCAGTTGGTCACGTTCTGCTTCTATTGTAGCTGAACTCCCTAAAGTTCATTTAATTTCACAAATCAAAATAGGATGCATCCTTCTTACACAAAAAAAGATATTAAATTGCTACAAAGAATCAAGGCTCCATGAGGAAATGGCTTATTCTATGTCTAGGATACAGAGTACAACAGGATCCTGATCCTGGAATGACTTGTGCCAGAAAGTGAGAAAGCGCTAAAAAAAAAAAAAAATTATGATTGCTTTAAAAAGATACAAAGTCAGCTTGGAGGAGGTCCCAGTGACCAAAGTTGCTAACACTGGCATCAAGGTAGGTTAGGAGAGTAATGAATTGTTATTCGTTCAGTAAAAGAAGAATCCATGGATATATATTACAAATGAACAAACGAGCTGGAACAGCTTTCTCTCCATACAAAAACAATTCTTTTAGAGACAGGGTTTCACTATGTAGTTCAGGCTGCCCTGGACTCATTCCTAGACTGGCTTCAAACTCATGGCAGTCCTCTTGCCTCAGCTACTCCCCCACATCCCAGTGCTGGGATTATAGGAGTGTGCCACCACACTCAGCTACAAAAGCAATTTATAAATGGAGGACAAATGGAAATAGTAATATTCCTAGTATGGTAATAACTTTTTCAGGCAAGAAGTATCGATTAATACTAAACGTTAGGTCAAAGTTTGAGGAGTAACAGGATATTGGAAAGACCTGTGTTTTGGCCTATGACACTGAAAAAATTTGCAGAGGCATACAACTTCACAACATGAGTCTTGTAGGGTGCACTGAGAACCTTGCAACACCTCTGTAATGGTCCTGCCAAAAATGCACAACCTAATGTACTCATGAGAATGTGTCAGAGCGCACCCTCTGGTTTGCTGTCTTCAGAAAGATCAGGTTGAAGGAAACTAAGAAACCTAACTGAATGCAGGTGGATCTGAAACCAGAAAAATCATCTCTCTATAGGATAGCTCTGGGGACCCAGGGCAACCGAAATACAGATTGTGCATTGGATTAACAAAATCAGTACTCAGTGTTTCATGATTTCTATTGTTAGTTTTTTTGTAACTTCATCTTTCGTGGTCTCTTTTTTTTTTTTGTTTTGTGTGTGTGTGTGTGTGTGTGTGTGTGTGTGTGTGTGTGTATGTTTGTCTTTCTCTTTTTTTATAGGTACTGGGGATCGAACTCACGACCACACACTTGCAAGGCAGGCACTTATGCAGCTAAATCCCCAGCCCCTCGGGGTCTCTTTTGATTAGCCTTAAATGAAGACAGCTGTGGTCACTCTCTAGGAGAGGGGCAGAATGTGTCATGTGTCAGGTGAGACACATGAGAAAGCAAAACCAGAATGCACAGAACAGAAATCTGTTAGTTAAAGGTCCTGGAGAGGCTGAGGGAGGGAACTGTAGGACTATGCCTTTATAGGGTCCATGGGTATTATTCCTTAGGTTTCCTTTAGGGGAGGGCAATTGTGCATTGATTAAAGAAGACAGAAGCATGACTCTATTCCTGTTGACTGCTAGGTTACAGTGGTCAGCAGCTGTGACATGTGTGTGGTTTGGAGTCAGTAAGAGGAAAAAGTGGGTTACATCCAAACCACCACTCAGGCAGGGGAAGTTATTTTATGCAGGCCCAAGATGAAGGGCACGATTGTGTTTCAAGTAATTTAAATCACGCCTAAAAACGAGCGCCCCCAACTGTGTCAAACACATCGATGCCACTGGGCCCACCGAACTGTTTTCAGTCCCATGAAGGAAACCCTGAAGGCCTGGGGGTCTCGAGAGGAAGCAGGAATTGGCTGTGGCTCCCAGCAGGCAGCCAGAGCGCTAGGCTAATCCGGATCCTTTGGCGCCGTCCGCAGTCGGGCGCATTTCCATCCACAGACGCTGCACGGGTCCGGGTTTCTATCACGAGCCGCGCACCGAAGGTGATGGGCCTGCGTGCTCCCTCGCCGTCCGCCTAGCCCGTCCAGTGGCCTGCAGCTAAAGACCCTGGCGTGTTCCAAGTGGCTGTGAAGACCAGGCTTAGCAGGTACCTACCGAGACAAGTGAGGCTGTGACATAGGCGGCACAAGCCAATCACAGCCCGGGGCTGGCCGGGAAGCGGGTACTTCGGGTCTAGTCGTGGGCGCGCTGGCCCGACTGCAGCTCCCACGTCGCCCAGACAGCGACCGCTTCTTGGCTTTCTAGGACCGCCCCCTGCGAAGTGCTAGCCAATCAGAACCGGGGTAGATCGGACGCGGGGCACGGCGGGAAGTATAGTCCACGAGCCGCGGGACTGCAGCCCCCAGTGTGCCCCGCGCGCGGCGGGGCGAAGCAGTGAGGCGGCGCGGGCGGCCGTCGGGGTTGGGCGGCGGCGACTGAGGAAGGCCTGCTAGATAGAGCTTCGGTGGGAGCCGACCTCGGCGCGCGGCCACCATGTCGGCGCCGTCGGAGGAGGAAGAGTACGCGCGGCTGGTGATGGAGGCGCAGCCTGAGTGGCTGCGCGCCGAGGTGAAGCGGCTGTCTCACGAGCTGGCCGAGACCACGCGCGAGAAGATCCAAGCGGCCGAGTACGGGCTGGCGGTGCTCGAGGAGAAGCACCAGCTCAAGCTGCAGTTCGAGGAGCTCGAGGTGGACTACGAGGCCATCCGCGGCGAGATGGAGCAGCTCAAAGAGGTGCGCCGCCGCCCCACCCTGCCGCGCGACCCCCGTGCGCTACTCCCGCGGTGCTAGGGCCTGTGAGGCTAAGGTCGCTGCTCGCGGGGCGGGGCCCGCGGCTGGCCGTGGGGCAGGGTCTGGGCTTGGCCGCCGGGCCAGTGCCCCGCTGCGGTGCGGGGTCCTGGCGGGCGGAGCCGCCCTGCCATCCAGCCAGCGCCGCGGGCCTCGGCCGCCCCTTCCTGGGGCCGATGCTCAGCTGAGGTCCTCACTGCCCCAGCGTATCCGTGTGTGTGCGTGGGTGTGGGTGGGGTTGGACGGACAGATGCTGAAATCCGAGGCCGTGGACACAGGTGACCCACTCGGAAATACCGGGCCTGGGTCTCCGTGGGCGTCGCTGTCACCTTCAAGCATATCACTTCCCCTCAGCGCAGCTGCTCTCTGGGCGCTTCATTGCCTTCATTGCGGAGCTTAAGGTCTCCAAAGGGCGAGAAGGAGGCCTGAAGGAGTTGGGACTCCGGGGGTGCAATGGCCATTGTCACGGATCCGGTTCCCCTGGTGTCCCCTTGCTGTCCCAGAGCTGTCTGTGTCGTGATTGCGCTGCCACCGGCTGGGATGCGTGGTTTCCCTTGCCCATTTCCTATCCTGCCTTCCTTTCCCGGTTCCCTCTCTCCTCAGGCTCTTGACGACCTGTGTCATTCCCACTGTAGCGGAGGAGGCCGTTGGAACCCTGGGGCTGACGGCTGAGGCCTTGGGCAGCCCTCCCGGAATGGTTTAGATATTAGTGTGCCCCCCCCCCCCGCCCCAACACACACACCCTGTCTCCTAGGACCTTTCTTGGAGGTTTGGGAGGGAAAACTTGCTATCTGGGCGAATACACTCCAGTTTGGACCCAAACCCTATCAGTGCATGGGGATGGGGCTAAGGTCTGGGCTCCTTCCTGAGCCTTACTTAGCTTAACCCTCTGCAAAATAGGGGTACAGCGCTACTTGCCCACAAGGGGTTACCCTGAAGGTTGTATATTTGGAAAAGCCTGTTGTAGGGTTAGATAGGTAGCCTGGCAGTTTGTTTGACAATATGTCCCCTTCCCTACCAGACTGTATCCAGGGGCTCACCTCCTGGTACTTCTGCTCCTAGCAAGCATTGTGCTGTGCTGGGGCTCTTTGAAGACTTGTCTTTCTGAGGAGACCAGTAGGTCCTCTTTCTATGATAGTGGAGAGGAGAGAATGAATTAATCCTTAAAACCCAGGCAGAACAGGTGTTGGGTTAGCACCAGTACATGATTGCTCCTCTGGGAAGATGGGCACTGGGTCCCTGCACATAATTCCAAGGCCCTCAAGTGTGTTGGAAGCAGATGTTGGTGCCTTCTCCAAGCCAGGGTCCACTGGCACTGGATCTGTATGAGGGTTGGGATGTGTGGCTTCCCTAGCAAGGTCCCCCTCATCCTGGATTGAGCTATGTGACAGAGCGAAGTTGGGGGGCTGTAAGTGTATGGAGTAGCTGTACCCTTACCCCATTTCTGTCTCTACCTCCCTGTCTCTGTCCTTGCAGCACTGTGGGCTAAAGCACTGATAGCCCACACAGGCGGGCAACCCTTCCCTTCTCCGTACAGGCCAGCCCCCACAGACCGTTTTGTGTGAACAGCTTTCCTTCTACAGTATCCCTGTGAGAAGAGAACATGGATGATCTCACTTGTCATCACCTCAGGGCCTTTCAGTGGTCAGCTCTTCGCTATGGGCACAATCGTTTTTGGTGATCTTGAAGAGTCATGGCATAATCCTGCAGTGTGAATCTGGAGGGAAAGTCCCTAGCAGAATTGGGAAGAGGGTGTGACTGTTTCTGTACCTGCTGTTTAGGCGTCTGTCTGCCTGATTAGTTTAGTGTGACCTCTGGCTTCCTTCACATCTTGGCCACATGACTTTGAGCAAATTGTTCTCTCCCCCTTGTAAGGTGTTGATACGGTTTCTGCTGGGAGTCCCTAGCTGGGTCTAGAGGAAAGCGCATCCCTTTTAGTAGGTGTTTCCAAAAGCTTTTTGCCAGCGCATCTTCCATCAGCATTGTGCCTCATACCTGTTATGGCACAGGCATCCGTAAGCCTTTTAATTTTGGTCACTATCATAGTGAACACATTCAACTCTCATTTGAAAAGTCAAGATTTAGGAAGACAGTATTTATGGCTGTTTCTCTCCCAAAGAAGTGAGCCACCTTAATTATTTTAAGTTTATTTCTTGAACTAAAGTGATTTTAGTTACTAATAGATGCTACCGGTGGAATTGCTGTGTCCCTATGTGCGTTTATAGTTAAAAATCTTGAGGGAAGGAAGCTGGCTGGCTGGTCCCAGAGGAGGGAGTTTACATCCAGAGCTGAGGACGGTCCTTTGGTGGGTGGTGGAGTCTGGGCCCACTCTGCTTTTGGGGAATCTTTGTTCCATGGATGCTGTGGATCAGGTGGTGCCCCAGTGACTGATTTTGCTGGTATTTATTGGTAATTTTTTTCTCAGTTTTAATCTTTTATATGTTTGTAAAACAATCATATTTCTTGTGGGAAGTTGCTTCATGTATAAAGCGCATCTTTAATTCTTTTTTCTTTGACTTCCCTAACCCTTTCATCTCTTGATCCTCTTTTCTTTTGAAAAAGATGTTTCCCTACTTCCTATTATCTTTCTTCTATTCTTTTTATTTATATTTTAGGTTTCTTGTAAAAGAGAAACCATGAAATAGTTAAGCTGTGTCTGATTTATTTCTCTTAACATTATGGTCTCAAGGTGTATCCATTTCTTACAGATGAGTCAGTTTGTCTTTCCTCATGACAGAGTAGTATTCCATTGTGTATAAATAGCACCTCTTCATTCATTCATTCATTCATTCATTCGTTGGTAGACATACAGGCTGCTTCCCGACTTTAGCTGTTAAGACTTGGGTGCTATTTGCTGGCAATCTTTTGAGCCGAACTCATCAAGGGCCACGAGCATCTAAAGTCACGTTATACCCTCTCTCCTTCCTCAGCGTGATCGGTGAGGGAATTTTGTGAACCTTGGTCAGCTGCACAGTGTTCATGGTCCCAAATGGCCATGGGACGTCTTCCCCAGCTGCAGCATCCTGGAGATAAGTGTGCTGGGCTGGCAGGGTGAGGCAGGTACTGCTGGTATGTGGGCTGAGTCTGGGTGCCTTGGGTTTCTCACCAGAGTGGGAACTGTGAGTGGGGAGGTCCATGAGCAGTCTTGGCCCCACCCAGGCTGGTTCTGAGCACTCTCACTGTCTTGCTATATCACCTTGGGTGGTGCTGAGTGCCGGGATGTCACCATTGTTGTTGGAGAGTGCATGTGGGTGGAATTGGGTGTAGAGCCGCGCCGTCACGCAGCAAGTGCTTTGTCAGCTTCTTTCTCGCCTCACACACACCTGGATCTCTTCACTGTATCTGTACTTCCTCCCTGCAGGTGCTCCCTGTCTAAGTACTGGCTCAGTCTTTGAATGGCTCCTGTTGCCTCCTTCTGAGGGCCACTGTGTTTATCCTGCCCTGCCAGTTCATGGGGCACCCTGCTTCTCCTGGTGCTCTTACTCTTGTTCCTGGAAATTCTCCTCGTCCTTCAAGTCTGGGCATCTTTTTCTGGAAAGCTTCCCTGGCTGCCACCTTCTGGACTTGCCCCTCCTTTTCCCAGCACTCAGCCCTCTAGAGGAAGCAGGGATAGTCCGGGGACTTAGAGAAGGGTCCTACTATCCTCTGTCAAGTTATTAGTAGAAGTAAGGGCCAATCTCCCAATCAGTGGTGGCAAACCTATGGCACATGTGCTGCAGCAGGCTGTTTGTGTCATTGAAAGCTTTAAAACTTTCGCCATCATTGACCTAGAGTGTTTGCTTCTGGAGCAGGAGAAGTCCTGATTTTAATTAAGGCAAGTGGATTCTTCTGCTCCTCTATTCCCTGCTGAGACTGTCCTTGCATCCATTTCTTGAGCAGAGGGCTGTTGGGGGCTTGGAGACTCTGGGAAAGTTACCGTGTTTTGAGGGCCAGGTGGTAAAACTGCTGTGTCTGCATGAGAAAGCCTCAATCAGGGTAGAAGTAGGGTCGTATAAATCTTTGAAGCGCTGAAGGTGGCTCTGTCCTTACAGCTTGTCAGGAAGACACAGCTGTGTGGTTCTACCCTTGTCAGTGACTCCTGGGTGACTTCTTCCCTACTGGCCCCCTTTCCCACTACCAAATGTGGGTGCGAGCCAGGAAGGAATGTTAAAGGGCCCTTCTCTTGTAAAAATGTCCCACATTAGTGCTCCTGCTGTTTTCCGCAGGGCCTGGGGACTTGGCACCTGTGCCTGGTGGAAAATCTGCCCCAGGCATGTGGATGGCTGCTCCAGGCCACCCCTGCCAGCATGTGGAGGCGTGGCCTTGGCTGCCTCCTGCTGGACATGTGGTTGGCACAGCTGTGTGGAGCAGGCCCATCTTCAGGGATGCCAAACATGCTTTGAGGCTTAGCGGGTGGGGCAGAGGGAAAGCTAGTTCTGTGCGGGGAGTCTAGCTCTGGGAGCCAGGCATCGCCTGGGCAGGAGGGAAGCTAATGATGTGTGGTGGGGGTCAGCCTGTGGTTTATGCCCTCTGCTGCAACAGGGAAAGTTTGGGCCCCACCTGGGTCCTCAGGAACTGTGCACCCCAGATTGACCACTTTGCGTAGCTGAGGTGGTTAATACTGGTGCCTGTCACAGCAGCCTGGCATTTGGGTGGTCACTGTCCTCTTTTTCTGGTTGCTGAGACAAAATACCCAACACCCAAAGTTAAATGAGGAATTGTTTATCTTGGCTCACAGTTTATAGAGGTTTTAGTCTATAATTGGCTGACTCCAAGGCAGAGAGGCATCACAGAGGAGGTAGGAGGCAACAGTGGACAAGCTGCAACAGCAGTAAACAACAATGGACAAGTGACCACCTCACCCTCTCTCTCTACTCCGTATCTTATCCAAGCTACTTGTAGCACCCACATCTTTAATACTAGGATCGCACTGTGAATCAATCCCAGCATCACATCGTTGATCTCAG